GTGTGCGTCGAGGCGTCGATATGCAAAAAAGTTGGGGATGCAACGCTTTCTCCTCCCCGTAAACCATGCACCTGCTGGACCTAAGACGAGAGCGTACCAATGCTTCTTTTGCGAGACCAGTGCACAGCAGCCTGCGAGTTCCTTTTAATTGGACCCGCGTCTCTTTCTTCGCTGCTTTACTCTCTTTAAAAAGAAAAGCACTCTAATCCCACGCTCTCGCGCTCGTCAAATCCCGCCAGCAAAAAAAAAAAAAAGTCTAAGAGCGTTATTATTTCCAGAGGAAACTCGAGTGCCCCCAGAACACGGCCCCGAGACACGGATCCTTCCACAAAGAGGAAAGATACCACTAGGCACAGGCCACTCCTAAGGTGACAGTGCGGCGGCAGCCACGCGCTCGTGTGATCAGTCGTGCCTCCTCTATCTTGGGTCACGTGATCGCACTCCCACTCACACTGCAGCGCAGCCAACGCGCTCAGGTGATGGAGGAGAGGCGACTGATTGGTCTGCGGCCAGCACGTACAGCTCCCCCCGCGCTGTCAGCTTAGAGGCGAGAAAAGTACAAGCGCCATCGCTTACTTTTCTGTGGAATAAAATTCCGTAGTACTCTAAGCAACCCCCCCCCCCTTCCCCCCCCCCCTCCTTCCCCCCCCCCCCCCCCCCCCACACACACACAAAAAAATGGGTTGCTATCTGGAGCTTATGCTAGTGCAGATGGCCTGATTCCTTCGCATAGTTTCTCATCAATGTTTTCCCTTGTTTCCTTTTTCTTCTTCGAGTTATTCGGAACGTTAACTACACCCGTAGTCTTGGCAGTCTGTCGCGCTATGAGCTAAAGGCCCTTACGTACAGTTGCGTTTGAGAGCGTTTGACGGCGTTGCGTCGACAAAGAAAAGCGAGTCACCGGCACATCTGCGCTTCGTATGAAGCGAGGAATTCAACTGAAGGTAGAGCTTGGCACGCGACATAAGAAGCACGGATGTCCCGGTTTCTCGCAGCCGCAACGCGGTCAAACACACTCAAACGCAACTGTGCGTAGGGGCCTTTAGTGTTCGCGCTTGTTGCGAGACGCTGCAAGACGCACTGCCGGAGACGCTGAAGAAAGCTATAGCCGCCACTGCGTGGATCCACTAGTGGAGGTGGGAGGAGGGGGCGGGGGGGGGGGGGGGGGGGGGGGGCGTGGCACTGCCACCATCGCGACAGGCAACGGCATGACACTTCGGTAACGTTATCAGGCGAAACTTGAGGGAACACATTGTAGGACACGGTATAACACACCAGTCCCGGGGACGCGTTCCAAGTACCACAGTGATGAGGTTCCTGACCGGTTCGGAGACGTAGTCGGGAAACCGGAGGTCGATGGTGCGGATGCGGCGGTCGCTGTCCACCGTCATCACGGACTCGATGGGCGGCTTGACCACCATGAGCTCGCACATGACCACGCCTACCGACCAGAAGTCCACCTTCTTGTCGTGCGCATTGTTCTCGACTATCTCGGGCGGCGGGTCAGCAGCTGATACAGTCGGTGACCAGCAGATGGTCCACCTCGAGCGCGAGCTGTCTTGCATTGTCGCGCGCGTAACCAAAGCCCGGCCAAAAGCAACGAGCGCGTGCTGGACGCGGAACATCTATTGGGAACCTGTCACCGACTGTGGATAAGAAATCGTGAAGGGTGAATTTTGCCGCGCTACTGAATAAGGCCAACGCAAGGCACAGATTGAATACGAGCGCTGCGTTAGAGCTCGGGATAGGACTCGTCTCCTAGAACACCAGTTCTAGCCGAACGATGACGCGGCCCTCGTGCCCAACCTCGGCCATATGGTGACCTTCTTTGGTGACGCAGGAAAATTCAGCACCAGGGCGTTTTTATCTATAGGGGGTAGGGCAAGTAGTCCAGGGTGCCGCAGATGGTAAGACTCCTGAAACACGGTGCACGGACCAGCCGAAGTCGGCCATCATGAGCTCCCCGTTGAAGCCCAGCAGTAGGTTCTCCGGCTCGATATTCTTGTGGATCGCCTTGTTCGAGGGGCAGTATTAGCCCCGAGAGCGAACACAAGCGTCGCTGCGGTCGCCGCGCCCTGATTGGGTGAGGTGTACCGTGACGTCAGGGGGAGTACTCCGCTCCGCGATCTCGCATCCGCTCGCTTCCCAGCACCGGTTTCCTAGTTTGGCGTTGTGTGCCGCAAGCTCTTCGAGGAGCTGGACTTTGTTTACCCGGTGTACAAGGCGTTGAGTTAGGCGGATATTGACGTGCTTTCGTACATTTTATAAGCCTGCTTGTCCCTTTTACCTTTAAAATTGGATTACAAATTCCGAAAGCTATCGGCGGAGGCAATTCTGCCGATGAACCTCCTCGTCCGTCCAGACACACGGCAATCTTGCGAGGGGTCGGTGGAGCTGTGGCGCAAGTGTTTCAGACGCTAGAATTCTGTTCCTTGCATGTCCATGATTTAGTACGATATTACATCCCGCTTTCAAGGCATTTGAAGTGGAATTTATATCATGGGCCTTTGGGTGGTCGGCAAATTAGCTCGCGACCCCGACTCTGCGCTGCCACTCTGTATGCGCTCGTTCGCAGATGTTTTAAAGGCCCTGCGTCTGATGATCTTTGAAGTGCTCGTGGAAAAGCGTTGTTTTACATAAATGTAGCTTCTTCGTGAATTAATTATATAGTTTATACACGTATGCAGGCATATTCCTTAGAAGATACACAATTACTGGAAATTAGTTTGTATGGTAGCAGCAAAAACGGCTGAATTGCCCCCAGTTGCCTGTATGATATGTATTGAACTGCCAAAAATATGCACAGCAATAGTGACGCAATTTCGAATGGTTATACTTTTTCCTGACATTCTTTATTCCAGCCTTTGGTATTCTGAAAATACAGCGTTGAGTCTGAATTTCCATTTCCAATTAAAAGAGACACTGCTGCAGGTCCCCAAAAGCTTCCTCAGCCTCCACACTCCCTACAGCTGGACTCTCTGACAGCAGAGGAAAACAGGACTAAAAGCAAGCATTTGAACGGCTGTCCAGTGGTAGGTGCAGCACTAGTAGCAGAAAATGTGGAACCTGTGAAGGGCGACAGTCTGCGTGAGAAAAGCTTCTGATATTTTAGCTTCAGGACAATTCGATTTAAGTAAAATCTCAATTTTAGGGCTTAAGGAACTAATAACAAGCTAGACACCTTCGCTTACGTTTATTATACATTACTCAAGGTTTGATATAAACAAGTTTACAGATACCACCCATGTAGTCCATTGAAATACTATCCGAATCCAACCAAGGTCAAATGCGAGCAATGTATATTATAAATGTTTCTTGTTTATTTACTTTGCCCCCGCAATTGGGCTGTCGTACTTGTGATTCTCTCCCCTTGGCCCAGACTGTATTTAGTATGTTGCTCGAACTACATGCAGCTTTTCTGTTTCGGACATCTTGTTTAAAAACAGATACAAAAAAAAATAGTATACATAACCTGCTAATTTATTCAGACCATCATCAGCACGTATTGTGCGAAATGCAAATCTATAGTGATGCTCCTGCAATTGTGGCCCTATTTCTTTAATTTCATATACCAGCTGCGATTCATGCGTTGCCTGCCCTGTCAACCATGCTTCAAATGTTGGTTGAAGTTTCGCCTGTAGCTACAGGCCATACCTTATTGAAGGCACATATAAAAATTTACACCTCCTACGAAAAACACGCCAAAAAAAAGATTAAATAGAAACGAGCGCGCCGACAGCGAGCGTCGTCACAGCCTCCACAGGGCGACCGGGGCGAGTCGGGGAAAAATTCTCTCCTCGCCGTGACGTCACCCCGGTTCGCCGTAAGGGGGCGCCACGCGAACTTCTCGGGGCTAATACTCGAGGGCAACGCACATCTGGTAGATGTAAGTGGCAGCCCTCTTGTCGCCCAGCCCTTTGGCCTTGGTGAGCTGCTTGTAGACCTCCCTATTGGGCGCGTACTCCAGGATCCGGAAGATTCTGATGCTACTGGGGGGCTATGTTGCGCTTTTTGCACTCCCAGGAGACTAGGGAGAGGGAAGTGACGTCAACGACACAGCAAACGCAGATTGGGGGCTAATTTCGTTTTCTTCTGTCAACATCCAATCTGCATTTGCTGTGTCGTTGACGTCACTTCCCTCTTCCAAGTCTCCTGGAAGTGCAAAAAGCGCAACATAGCACCCCTGGATCTCGGTTTCCCTGCGAAGCTGATGGTCGATCTCATTTCTTCGCAGCTGAGATTTGAACATCACCTCGAGTGCAATGATGGACTTGGCTGGTCATTTCCCGTGCCAGGTAGGCAGAAACGAATTGGCCCTTGCCCCGTGGTCGGTCAATGTCAAGATCCTATAGCGTGCAGTCCGTCAAAAGCTTTCTGGGGACGGCACTCGGTGGAAGGAAGCTCTCTGGCGGGCTGGTCGTGCGGTTGTCTTTGGAATTCCTGATGCCCGAAATGGCAATCGAACGAGACTGACCACAGTAGCGGACGGAGCGGGGCCAGACAAAGTGGAGCGGGCCGCGAGCCATGCACGAGTCATGAGCGGGATGCCGTTCAACTAGTTTCCAAGGAAAAAAGAAACAACCACCGGGAAGCAGAAAAAAAAGAAGAAAACGTGATTTTTGTGTAAGGTTTGTCAAAATATTTGATGGTGAAGAAAATCAGTCATCTGCGTGAAGTCCTTATTTTGGACACTTTTTGCTCGCGTTCTACTTATTGAGAGGCATGGGGGAACCCAAGTACGCACGTGATCTTGCCACACCACCGTCTCCCTCTGCATGCAGAAGTGCGGAAGGAAGATAAGTTACTCGAAGCGTGCATTTTATTATTGGGCTTTAATTGCCATAATTCGACACGCGAAAAACAATAAGCAAAAAACGCACGGCCTTGTTGGATTTTCTACGGCCCGCTGGCGTGGGGTTGAAAGAATGGTGCGCGAGTGAGTAGGCAGAGCGAGTCGGGGTGGCTTAGGTGCCCGGCGTTTATTGATCGTGTCCCCGCGTTCAGGTGAGCGCGACGGACTTGAAGTTCTGTGGCGGCTCCTCAATCTCGTCCTTGCTCTGCACCAGCCTCAGCTCGAGTTCGTGACTCCGGTACTTGAGCTCGGGCTCGACGTGCATGTTCTGCGCGTGGCGGAAGGTCTTCTTGAGCACCGCCTGGATCGTGGACACCGTCTTCTCGACGGATACGCGCAGGTTGTTGTTCGACTTGGTCATCCAGCCTACCAGGACCGCTGCAAAGAGGTCCCCGGTACCGCTGAACTGGGCGTCGATCCGGGGCACCTCCACCCTCAGCGACGTCATCCGGTCTCCGGTCCTCTTGCTGGCGAAAACCACAAGAGAGCCCGTGTTACCGTCCACCGTCGTGGACGTGATGACAACCGACGTGGCGCCCATGACGTGCATGGCTTCCATGGCGTCCAGGGCCAAGTTTTCATCCTTGATGGTCACTCCCGTCAGCAGCTCGCTCTCGAACTGGTTAGGCGTCACGATGTCGGCGATGGGTACCAGGTCGTTCTTGTAAACATTCACCAGGTCTGCGGGCACGTACAGGAAGCTGCAGTCACCCATCACAGGGTCGCAGATGTACACCAGCTCCGGGTTGGCCCTCTTCATCTCGATAACGAGGTCCCGGATGCGCTCGAGAACGCTCAGCGACGGCACGTACCCTGTCATGACGTGCGTGTACACGCTCGTGTCCAGGTTGGCCAAGATGGCGTCCAGGTCTTCGGTGTCTGCTATCTGGCCCTTCCAGACCGGGTAGCCCGTGTGGTTGGAGAACTGGACGGTGTCCAGAGTGTCCACGTCGAAGCCGAGGATCTGGAGCGGGAAGGTGATGCACTTGTTGCCCACGTAGCCAGACACCACGTGGCTCTGGATGGACAGGATGCGGCAGTCCTGGATGGAGATCATCTTCGACGAGGCTGGACGGGGCCTGCCTTGGCCCACGAATCGAATGGCTCAAGTCCAAACAGAAGATGCGCACGAGGAGGCGCGAGCCTTGCTTCTTCTTTCGATGCAACGAACCGAACGCGCGTGACCTCGTGCCAATGAAAATCATGCAGGATCTTGGAACCATAGAGTTAATAATAATCGAGAGGAGCAGCTCTCATGCATTACGGTCGCTTCAGAACGGCGGGACAAAGACGCGGACATCGGGGGGCCCAGTGAGTGGCCCCGATGCGCCCAAAACGCTGGCGACGCCTTAATATATATTATGTGTCCTTATTTACTAACAAACACAATATAAACACGATGTTATGGAAGACGAGGGGGAAAAAGCAGTTTACAAACAGCTTGACTGGTCCCAAGCCCCCCGAAAATTCAGTAGCACTTGATCACGTTTTGAAATGCAGATTCGCCTTTAACAGGTAACCCCCCTCCCCCCCCCCCCCCCCCCCCAAAGAAAGGGGAAAAAGAGTAAAATATTACCCGTAAGGTCTTTGCCGAGATCGCTTCTAGCATACTTCGCAGGAAAACACGGGCATCCTTCATTGTATACTAAAATACATAAAGTTGACAAGCACACGAACAACTTTAACTCACCGCGGCAATACGAAGGCGCCCAACTAATCGTCTGGTCTCCTCCTCTCCTCTCCTCTCTCCCTCCCTCCCTCCCTCCAATGCCGTATCATGTCGTAGCAGAAGTATAGGACTGCAGGTGTATAGTATTTAGTAAGTAATGTTGTGATCAATCCTAAGACACAAGCCAAAAATGTCACCAAAACATCGAAGGGCACGACTGTCTGGAATTTTTATTTCTGGCGTAACACACGCCAAAGTAGTTTCATTTAAACTAAAAAATAAGCCCCAAATTACAGATGTGTAAAAAAACAATATTGTGAGTGTATTTTTTTACTTATCTATTGTAACAAATGGCGGAACATATCGGGAGTATTCACTGGACGTCATATTTATGAGTGCTGTTTAGAGCGCATGCTCGGAACGAGCTCACATCACTAGTCTGCTAAGACCGCCACTCTTGATGGTGCGGAATGCACGTTGCAAAAAAACTGTGGAAGCTCGCCATCAGCACGCGCTGCTCAGCATTCGCGCACACAGCTATGGCCGCCAGTGAATACTCCCTATTATTTAAAGAAATAGGACTACAACATATATTTCTATGAGGCAAATGAAAATACCCAGCCCGGCACGCGTGCTTGATTTCAAACAAAACCATCCTACAATAAAATGTAAAAGAAAAAAAAAACATTACAATATTAACAAAAACAAATACATGTGGGACCACTTGTGGGACAAATCTGGGCACTTCACGGCCGTTTGAAAAGCGGTTACACAGGGGGTCAGTTTCGTAGCGGAGGAAACAGTGACTCGAAGTAATAAAATCAACTTTCAAGCCAGTTACGCTCCCGAAAAGAAATAGAATAACTCGCCGGAATATCAACATCGTGCACGCAAATGGTAGAATGAAAAGACTCTTCCACCAAAACTTTTTTTTTTCTTTTATCACAAAATTAAAAGGAACGTTTTTACCTACTGGCGAGGAGATGTTTTGGTGGCGCCATCTCATAACTGCTATTCGTAGCGGTCACGACCACGATTATCAGTACCAAGTGGCAAGTTGAACGGTGCGTAAAGGGCACCCTTGGAAGTCCCACTCCAAAATCAACACCGTCGGAATAAGAGTCTGGCATTTCCGTGAGCAAGAGCAGAAATAATGTGCTTGACCAATCGCCGTAGGCGAATCACAGCGACGCTTTGGGTCGTTGCACGTTGCCAAAAGAACGCGTCGGGGATTCCTCGCGAGGGAACTTGCACACAAAGGAGGCCATTAAAAAGGGAAGGGAAAAATAATAAGTAATGTTAGTACTTCCAAAAGTAATGGGACTATTTTTCCGATTACTTTCTAATCAATGTTTTCAAATGATTACACAATTACTTCATTCGAAAAGTAATCGATTACAAGTAATTTAGTTATTTGATTACCGTGCACTTCTGCAAAGGAAAGAGTTTACTGCGACGAACTCCCGCTATTGGCTCCACTCCACTCCACCTTACAATGGACCACAGCGAAGGCCACGAGAAATCTGAGCCAATCAAATAATGCGTGACTGGTCACGTGATCTTCGGGACAGGCGCAGCGACGTGTGACACAGCGCTGGACTGGCTCGGATGACCCGTGGGGTCCGATGCGGTATAAAGTGCTCCTGCCTTCTGGAGGTTTACCGTACGGCACACAGATTAGAAGAAGGCGATTCATCTTCCGTTTTAAGCCTCCTCGGAAGAGGATTCTACTACCGCCAAAAAAAAGCACTCTCCAAAGTGAACATCGGAAGAGTTTAAAAACACAAAAAGCGACGAATAAACTCGAGTAAGCCGGCCTAAAACGGGCCGCCATCTTAAATTGGTTCAGGAAGGGTTCGTTCCCAGCGGGCAGCGGCTAAAACCCCGTTTTTCCAGAAGAGAGCTCTCCATCCATCACGAACGCATCTGCTCCCTTCGTTTCAAGTTCTGCGCCGAGTCAATGCTGCCCGCCTACCGTTTTTTAGCAATCCATAAAGAGCCGAAGCCAATCCATAAAGTCAAAGTGAACGTTCGAAACAGAATGGAGAAAATAGCTCGGGACCGAATCATCAACTCGATTCCCAAAATCCCCAATTTCCCTTTCGCAAACTGGATTCCCAACTGGAAGTAGGCGAATGAGAGACGGGATGCAGGCGACAACGTCGTTCGTAAGCGGTCCCCTCGGGTAAATTGAATCTGCAACTCCCGATTATGCAACGAGGGTGGATAGGGAGCTTCGAATGAGCCGACGCGACCACAGACCGGAAATTCCCAGAAGGCCTCGCGGCAATCCCAGATTGCAACGCGGGGAATTGTGGGGCTGATCTAATATACGCTCAGGCCGACGGTGGCGCTTCGTATGACCTAAAAGCGACACTATATATTTGTAAGTTAACGAGACAAAGAAAATCGAACGAACCTAAAACGAATTCGATGCGTACTCCGTTTCTTATTCGAGAGCCTTAAAACAGGGGGTGCTTCAGGTAGCCGAAGCAGTTTAGGGCGTCGCACTTTGCGTACGCAGCATTTCAACGAACTAACTGCGGCTACTTTATTGTAGTAAAAAAGAATTGTATGTTTATACAGCCTAGAACTTAGTCTACCTAGCAGGCAAATTGCCTCCCAGCAGTAGGTGAGCAATTCAGCCAGTGCAGTACAACCGCTAGCCTGGGGTCTTTAACGCGCACCACGCAGTACTGACACACGACCGCACGCCGGCACGATGCTCATCCAGATCGAAATGGGCAGGGGTGGGGATCAGTGTTGCGGAATGGGCACCCCCCATTCCATTCCAATTCCATTCCGAGAATTAGTGTTTTCGATAATTCAATTCCTTTTAACTTTTATAGGATTGGGGACACTGGGCCCCTTCCCACTCCTGGAATGGTTGAATCGTTCCATTCCGTTCCTCTAATTCCTATCCTTAAAAATTGGCACTTGACAGCGACATTGTGCAATGTTTCCGGCATAAGCAGCATAAAGCTGACATTGTCAAACGCATATAAACAATTGAAAAAAAAAAAGCTAAATGCCTCAAAAAAGCACTGATTTTATTAAACTCACGGTGCTGGATTGCCTAGGCTGACTCAAAGTGTCCGCAGCGGTACATCGCAAGGTGAAACAAGGTATGCAAAGACTAAAGTAAACGAAAAAAAAAAAAAAAGAGCGGGCATTTGCTACCTTGCTTTAACCCAAACCCACTTGAATGTAAAACATACACAGGGTGTCACAAAAGAAAACTTACACCGTCTTTTTTACCGCAAAAAATTAACTAGGCATCGCCGAACGCTCATTCTCCGCCCAAAGGTAGCGCTAGAGGTCACAGCCAGATGCCAAGGTTTCAACCCGATCCGATAACTTTATCAAAAGTTATAAGTGATTTTCTGAAAATTTCAATGGGAAAATCGAGCCCATTTTTGCCCGTTTTCGGTTTCTGGTGAGCCCCATATGTTTGAAAACTCAGTCGTCCGCCATTTTCCCATTGAAATTTTCAGAAAATCACTTATAACTTTTGATTAAGTTATCGGATCGGGTCTGTACGCGCGCGTGCATTCTCCATGCATCGCAAAAAAAAAAAAAAAAAAAAGAAGCACGATGAGGAGCAGTATATGGCGGTTTCTTGCGTTGCCGCTTCCTTCGTTTCTTTTGCTTGGTGCTTGCTACCTTGTTTCGCTCTCGTGTAACACCAGTGAAGCCCGTCGTCTGCGGGTCCGTGAAAGACGCCACCGCCACTCCCTCCCCCCCTTCGCCTTTGCTCTGACGCTTGTATTTTGCATTGCTAGCAGTTTCCCGCGCATATTTGTTTTTCTGAGCAAGTGACTCGCTGACTGGCTTTGTTCAGCTGAACGTAACCCCCCCCCCCCCCCCCAAAAAAAAAAATAAATAAATAAATAAATAAAAATAAATAAATAAATAAAATGAAATAAAGAACCGTGCCCCATTTCATTCCCATTCCATTTCGGACAAAAGGCATCTAATCCCATTCCCATTCCATTCCCCTGACCGTTGCCGCCATTCCATTCCCATTCCATTCCGGGGTCACGAAAATGCGGAATGATTCCGGAATCATTCCAACTCCGGAGTGGCAACTCCGCAGCACTGGTGAGGATTGAACCCAGTACCCCCCCCCCCCCCCCCCCCCTCCCTCAACCCCTTTACCCCTACAGCGGCCTTGTGCCATCCTCCCTTCCAAAGAATCAATAAATAAATAAAAAAATCCCTGGGTTCTGCAGCGCGAGCTTTCGCTCCACGAGCTCGAAATTGGTGTGCGCTAGATATTCCAATAACTATATACTGCAAATCTGTGCACCTATCTTGTTAAAAATAAGAATATATGACGCATTCCTTTTCGCCCGTTTATGTGTGTTTTCACATGTTAAATGAGTGCA